ATTGTCCAAATCCTAAACGAGATACCTAGAACACATCTGGCTAGAACAAAACATTGCTTCTGGGGAAAAGCACACAAATCAAATTAGAACTGCCTGAAAAGACTCCTTTGGAATCTATCTTTCCTCATCTGAGGAGAAATGTTAGTATTCTAGGCTCAGCTGTCTTTTACTTGAATGACTCCACAATCTCAAACTAACTTAATTGAAGCTACAGAGTGAAAATCCATTTCCTAAGAGGCCCATTTAGTAGAGACAACCAAAAAGACAGAATTGCTTGGGGAGGGAGGCAATGGGAAGGAAAAGTTGGCAACTGATTAGATCTTTCATTTGACTCCAAAAAATGCAGTGAGGGAAATTACTTTAGAGAGAACCCTCTTCATTTTGCTTGTCTCACATAGCAAACTCAAAAAGCATTCTTTTAAGTGAAGCAAACAGAAACATTATTTAAAATGTATGATTTGATCCAGAAATTGAAAGGATCTATTCTTTATAGATTTAAAATGGGACACTACTCAAAATCTAAGTTCATTCTGCCTTTTGCCCGATTCTTTTTTACTCAGGGGTTGCATTTTCTCTCTTCATACATGCTACTATTTCCCTTCTCTTTCTTGTGGAAAGATTGAAGTCCATTCCTTTGCCTAACAATACCAAATAAATATTTCCACTCCTTTCCATTGGATAAAATGAATACTCATTTTACTTCCATAAAATGTCTGATTTCTTCAACTGCTCTCCCTAAAAATAATTAGAAGGCAGTCGGTATCAGCTGTTATCATTTATATGCACAAATGGCATCCAGAGTATGTGGAATAGGTATTTTGATAATACATGAGAAAAAGAAAAGAGGAGACTAGAAACCAAAAGTCTGAATTTTACTTTTAACTATACCATTTACTTGTCATGTAACCTTAGGTATTCCACACACTTTCTGAGCCTTAATTTCCCCATTTATAAAATAAAAATAATAACTCCAGCCCTTCCCTCTTCAGTGTTAGAAAGCTCAAAAGAGATCAAATATGTGCAAGCACTATGAACACTGCAAAAGATAAACAAATAAAAGCCATTATTATTGATCATTTTATCTTGACAGATCTTTTCTGTTTAAAAACACAGCTTAAGAATTTTACTTATACAGCTGAAACTAATTCTAAAAAATGTGTATTTCACAAAAAATAATTTAAAAAAAAAAGAATTTTACTCAGTCAAAATACTCTCCACTTTGCCTCTAACATATATCACATATCAAATCAGCGTAACAAAATTACATTAAGTTTCAACAAGGAAACAAGTCAATCCTCTATTAAATTTGTTTCATTCTAAAACCTAAAGTCAAAGGCAAACTATAGATTTATTGACGTTTCTTCCTGCAAAACTAAATACAATTATTTATTTTTCCAGAAGCTTGTCTGGAAAATAATTCTTATTTTCTTCTTATAGTCCTATTTTCTATATACAGAGGGTGCCAAAAAAAAAGTATACACATTTTAAGAAAAAAATGTATTAAAATTACGCTGATGGTAACCACTTTGAGCACCTCTTGTAATTGCAGAAGTCAAACATGACTTGTATTCATCTTTTGTTATCAATATATTACAATTTTAATACAGTTTTTCCTTTTTTAAAATGTGTATACACTTTTTGGCACCCTCTGTATTAATTATTGTAGAAAAAAATTAAAACTTGCAACAACTATAGTTCATATTCTAAAAATAAATCTTGCCTATGATGAAAGTAGACAGGAGAGTTTAGATTATTACACCCTACCCTGAAACTCAAAATCATAAAATTTTAAGTCTGGGAAAGGATTACTTAACACATAGAATATTTTGTTAACCTACCAATTAATGAACCAGGTGACATGGAGACAATGAGAAAAGACATACTTTTCACTGAATAGCATTTTGTATCTTTGAAGTTTGAGCCATGTGCAGTTAAAATATATATGTCACTTTATTAATTCGTTATAAATCACTGAGGGAATCCAAAGCAGCCCTCATTTTTCAGAGGAGAAAACTGAAGCCAAAAGAGGTGAGCTGCTCAGGACCACGCTGTGAGAGAAAGAAAAAGCTGGGACTGGAACTCAGGAACCCAATGGAAGCTTCCAGTGTTTCACCCTTTATCACAATGCCATGTGGTAAAACAGCAAGTGCCACCTTCTTATAAACAATAAAAGGACTACTATAATTATTTTCAGAACTGTGATCCTCCAGAGGTCCTGTGGCTCATATGATACATTGCTCATCATTAATGTTTTCACAGAACTTCTAAAGCAAAGAAAGGGGTAGAGATGACAATCCCACTATCAAGACTCACACCAAGTATTAAATGAGTGAATAAATCAGCATATGGATAATGTGTCTTCTCTCAGGCATAAGTGGACTTAAGCGTTAACCAGGTCAGGAGAACGTTGCCGCTTTCATTATTACCAACTAAGGATGTCTGATGAGGCCGAATAGATTCAGCAGTACAAAGAGTTTATTCCTAGTGAATTGATTTAGAGGATATAGAACAAATGGAGACGACAGAAAATTCTTGTTTGAAAGAAGCCTTAACAATTCCACTGTGGAACTACTCGCAAATAGGAGAACTAAGGGAATTATCAAGGCCCCTTCTAGTCCTAAAGTCCTCAAATACGGAGAAGACAGCTTTAACTACTCCTCTGAGTAATTCAAGCATACTTTTCCTCTTGCTAAGAAGAAATATTAACCTTTTCTTTCAATGGGGACAGAGCCAGAGGAAACAGAAGAGTTTACACAGAAAAGATGATGAGAAGCTAGAAAGGGAAACTATTCCAAAAAATACCTGAGTCTGTCTGCTCGGACAGAAGGATCTTAGAAGAGAGGAAATTTATTACAGGGATTATTCTTTCCTTTCTAGGTCTGTATGTAGCCTTCACCATTGGAGAATTACACGCATGTTAGATGTCACTGGGCCTTTACTGTACCTTCTAATATTTGCCCAACATACAGTAGTCATGTATTAGTTAATCTAAGTATTTTTAAGCACTGGGTAAGTCTGTTTGCCAACAATTTGTTGATCTGATGAAACATTTTAAAAAGGGAAAACAAGAGAAACGATAACGAGCCTGGCCAAGACATAACCTCCAGCCACCATTATCGTTCATATTTCTAAACAGAAATCATGGCATATGGATAAACCACAGATTAGGACTTTCTTAGTCAACCCTAGGTCACAAGGTCACATCACACTGAGAAGTTTCTCACCACAACTTCAATTCTTGATCAGGAACTAAAGGCCAGAGAGAGCTCAAATTCCAGCACAAGCCAACCACTGTCATCTACAGGGAATCTCTCATGTCAAATGCTTAGTCTCAGCAAAGGTCCTCAGGGTGTTGTTTCAAATTCCATCTCCAATTTTCACTAAATGTTTCAGATATAGAAAAATATTTGAAGTGCATTTGTTAATAATGTGTCTACTTTGTTGAAAATAAATCTGCCTCATGGTAAAACAGTCACATAATTCAAAGAAAGGAAAAAAAAATCTCAGGAAACTAAAAAGTCAGATGTTACACTTCACATTGAAAGGTATTAATGCCAAAAACTCCTATCGATGTATTTCATGGAAAACATTAAACACACAACCCGGAGCCAAAAAACAAGACATTCCACTCTCTCTCTCAACAACAAATGAGTTAAACAGTAATAGAGGCTGCGTTAATATTACCTAGGGCAGGAGAAACATTTGGTGACTCACACATTCCCCTTTGATGTCAACTTCTAAATTAAAGACCTGGTTTCTTTGGGAAGAAGACTAGGAAAACTTTTAAAATTATCCCTTGAAACTTCAGGTCCAATAAATTAACCATTCTCAATTTCAAAGTCAATTCCATCTTTCCCCCCCAAAAAATCATGAGTCATATCAAACATCTTATACCCATGAAATTTACTGCCTTAAATTCACTTAATATTTACTGAGTGCCCACAACTGAAGAAATACCATCCGAATTCAACGAAATCGCTCAATTTTAACTTTACATCCTCCGAGCATCTCCATATTTATACTTGTGAATGTAGACTATTTTTCTGTCGACTTGGAAAAAAGTGCAGTGAACAAATTCCACACAGCAGTTATTACGTAAATAAAACCTGATGAAAGAAAGTGGGTGTTCTTTACCCTAATGCCTCCTTCGCGACGTTTTTAAATGGTTTAGAATTGTTTAAATACCTATTATTCTAAATATCGGACTAAATCCTTACATGCTAAATCTTTATTTGCCGTGGTAATGGCCTAAAAAGAGAACAGAGTTGAGGCGTATGATTTAAATCTTCAAACAATACCAAAGTTTTAAACCAGTGATTTCGCGCCGCTCCCCATTAACTTTTCATTAACCTGGCAAAAAAGACATTGAAATGCTTAGATTTCGGGTCGTTTTATTTCTGGCCAAGGCATAAAAAAGGGACATGGAAGAGAAAGAGGAGCAAAAACAAGGAGTATGGTACGTTGCAAGCAAGACAGCCAATCCTGAATAAGAGATAATTGCTACAAAGCACATAGAAGCAAAAGAAGAATAGTTTTGCGTTTTCAGCCCTCGAACTCTGTTCCAGAATTCAGCACTGCCTGCCAAAAGCAATGGCATTAGAGCAAATTATTAAATTTCGCTTCGATGGCCTGGGGAAAGACTTCATCCAATCTCGTTTATGGCACTCCTGGGCGGTGCGTGAGGCGCAGGGCTAACGCATTTTGAGAAAGCGAGGCCCACAGAGAACAGGGCGAGCTCTCAACGAAAACTCCAAGAGTTTCCCAAGCAGGGACTGAACACCAAGTCCCAGCTCCCAGTGCAGCCGCCGCTCCCCACCGCTCTCCTGGGAAAAGGAAGGGGTCCTCCGCCGCGGAGGGGAGAGGAGGCTGCAAATCCGTCCCCTCCGTCCTGGACCTGAGCCCACCGCCCTTTCCTTCAGAGCTTCCAGAGAGGACCTCCACTGTCTCCCTTCGGCCCTCCGCCCCGCTCAAGACGAGACCAGCCACCACCCCTTTCTGACCTGTTCCCGCGGGGTCCGAGTCGGCAGCGCGACACCTCCATCACCGCAGCTCAGAAAGTGGCCACCACGTCCAGAACCCGCCACCTACTCGGCTGCTAGGGTGGCACGTCTGACCAGCAACCGGCCCCGCCCCCTGACAACCGCACCACGCACTGTCGCCACCGCCTATTGGCCCACGGGCAGCCGCTCCTCTCTTATTGGCTCTTGCCGCGTTGCGGGAGGGTATCTAAGGAACAGCCAGCGTTAAAGGCGCCTGCGCCCGCACAGGGATGACTCGCTAGCTCTGGATCCATGTAACGTTCGCTGAACCGGGAAGGGGCCGAGGTGGAAGGGGAGAAGATGTGTTTCCGTCAGCGGCGTTGGCTTCTCGCGGGGGGGAAGCCATTCTGTCGGAGGAGCCGCCCAGCACCCACTAACCGCCGCGACACATGGAACGGCCTCCCCGCACCCCCGCCGTTTGCACACAGAAACCACCCAGAGCGCTTCCCGAGGTCTGTCATGTTAGGACTTACAGACTTCTGCCGTCTCCTTCATAGTCGGATCCTTTCCAGACATACCAGAGCCTTCTTAGGAACCACGCTTGTAGCCTCTCCAGGAGTCATTCCCAATGAAATGCATCTTAGAGTTACCTGCTCTGGCACTCCAACAGCACAGAACTCCTTCAGCCTCCCCGACTCCAGCCCAAGCTTTTTAAAGCATTCCTAGACCTGCTCTACAGACTTTTCTAAGAATCTTTACTATTTACCTATGGACCATCTTCAAACATCCGAACACCTTAAGGAAATCCACTATCTAAATCTGTACTCTCGTTTCCAATAAATCTTGTCCCCAATCATCATTTCCTTTCTCACCACCAACTTACATACAGCATTATAGCCCCTACAAAACATCCTGACAAAAGTTATCGCAAATTGAGTTTAGTTTATAGCATTCCAAGGTCAAAGTTGTTTCCACATTGCTTTTGAATTTCTAAGAGGCCTAGAAGTTGGCACAAGCTAGGAGGGCAGAGCACTGCACTTGCCAGCTCAGTCTCCACTCACTGTGTGACCCTGAACATGGTTCATTATTTGTGCTTCAAATTCCCATCTATAAAATAAACAGAATAATCCTTGCTTGGCTAACTGAGGCTGGACCTGACACAGTAGGTTCTGATAGCTGAATGAATGGAGCTGCATGAGATGCTATTTGTGTTGGTCAAAGGACAATGGAGACATTTTGTTGACTGGGCAGTACTGCACTAACATTTTCGCTGCAACGTTTGCCTATAGTAGAATGATATTTCCGTGGCGCTGACTGCAGTGTTTGACTTTACCCCACGAGCTCAGTGCTCCAGTGTCACGTCCTGCGTGGCAAGGGCAAATGGGACACGAGAGGGGCGGCGCAGATTGAATAAGAACAAGAGACAGAAGTAAGATTTAAGAGCGAGA